TCCGAAAAAGGGGTGAAAACAAGGTACCTGCTAAGAGTGAACGAATGGCGACCCAGCAACAGAAAGGTTTCAAACAGTATCTAGAAAAGGTAAAGAATAAAGCATTAAAAAAAACAAGGTGCTAACAAAAGGTCCTATGGAATAGGTATCAACAGGGGTACTTTCCTGGAAACACGTAAGCAAATCGTAACCAGCAAGCCTGACATCAAGCAGCAGCAAGATTTGAGTGAGCAGTCTCATATATACACATATATATATAATGTATTATACTTAAACCATACATGAGCGACGACGACGACGACTTCTTTTAATACACACGGTCAAGACGCAATCTCTAATGTTTGGCGAATGGTTTCGCTTAGTCATTTTCAATCTTGTCATCTCCTTTGTTTGATAAAAAGCATGATCTCCTTCAGAGGTGCGAAGTACAATGTAGCAGCATATGCTGCAGCCCGCATAATGTATTTTGATGGCCCATCTCGTTTAATGTTCGGTGGCTATCTCGTTAGCCTTAGCGCGGTGGATCCATTCCAAAAGATAGCTCCACCTCTACTTATGTCTTCTCTTCTGCAAACAAATGCAGTTGCTCGTATTTGTATATGCATACATATCTATATATATATATATATATATGCTATGTTCACGCTATGGGGGCCCATGGGGGTATTCGGAATTTAGGACTCCGGGCCATTGCCGGCTGCAAAACTGTGATAGGCAAATGTTTTTTGAATCTTCTCGCTTTATAACTTCCCTATTCCTTTTTCCCTAAACCCTACCTCCCTAAACCCTAAACCGTAAACCCTACCCCGTATGGCTGAATCACGAACGTCTCAGCTCTGCTCCTCTCACCTTAGGCGCGAGTTTAAAACATGTTCATACTCGATCGCTTATTCCAGGGTGTCAGGTTTAGGGTTTAGCCGTATGAAGAATTCAGCACCACCCCGCACATGAACCCGTTCACAAATTTGTTCCACACCGGCCACCGGCCAAAGAGTTCGGCCAAGAAGTGTCAGCCACTGTTTTGAAACAGTCTGTACATGCATATGCGGCAACGTATATCAGAGGGTTTACGGTAGGGTGCTGCTTTCACTCTCTCCGTCGCAGACATGGTGTTAGCATGGTAGTTAGGACAGGATGGGACTTGGAAACTGGTAATATGTGCAGGTGAGAGAAATTCAACATCTGAACGTCTTCTATCATGCCACTGCAACAGTTCTAAGAATCTGCTTCGTCTCGCAAAAACCTGATCCCTGGTCCTTGCAGCCCCAAACCCTTCTCGAATCCTTCTCACTCTTGCTTTACACCGAAATGGCAGTCACAGGAAAGGTGCCGTGAGCCATCCTCAACCCCAAGCCGTGCCCAAACCCTTAGAGCCCTGCAGGTTTAAGAGGGCTTTTTGGTGCCAAAAGCAGGTGATTCACCTGATTCCAATGCACTATTGATGCTTGTCAGCACAGAAGAGCTCTCAGACAACCCTCTACCTGTGCGGCCTGGATCTCTTGGCCTTGTCAGGCCTTTTGAAATGCATCCGCTACTACAGGAGGTGCACGAAATTTGTATGGAACAAAGCAAATCAGCCGACAGCCCCTGACACGACTGCGGCTGTCAGCAGCAGCATAATGAAGAACAGGCCGCCCACGATTGTGTAGAGCCTCAAGGCCCAAAAGGATGCAACCCAAAACACGGCAACTGCTTACCGAATTCATCACAACGTAACTTTTCACTGTCATTCTGGCACAAACGTTGGGCAGAGATGCTCGACCCGTAATATATCTGCTATTCAAATGCCGCCACTTTTAGGGCCAGATGTGTGTTTCCAGGGATGGCATGCCATGGCCGCTGTGGTTCCGTGACCGCTTTAGGGTTTAGGGTTTAGACGTTCTTTGAAGGGAAAAGCGCGTTTTCTTTGCGGCTCGCCCGTTTCGTGCTTTCAGACGTCTGGGACAGCGATGGAACAGAACAGTCAATTTCTGCAATCTGCTGTGACAGTCACCATGCGCGACAAGGCTGTGTCAAGATTTGTCAGCCACAGCTCCGCCAATGTACAGTCACAGCACTGCACGCCAAGACCCCCTGGTTCTTAGTAGGGAATGAGGGAATTAAAAGGGCCCTATACATACCCTTGAAGGGATTCTATAGGACACTAATTCCCTCATTCCCTACTAAGACCTAGCCAGAAGAGGCCATGACAAGATCTGCCGCGTTTTATCGCCATCGCTCTCGCAGTCTTTGACAGCAGGCTGTTGTGCGAGCCGGCCATGTCCAAGATTTGTCAGCCACTGTGTTCCCTGCAAGAAGACCACATCAAGCTTCCCTTCCGATCACAGTATGTTTACGGGGACTTTTGACGATCGGTAGCCTACAGCTGCAGCGCTACGTTCAGAAGACTGTGTCAAGATTTGTCCACACTATACGTTGAGCGCAAACGCTCTTACAATCTTCGGTGCCAGCCATAAACATGCCGTGTAGACATCCGTTCAGGCACGTGTTGTTCTGCTACCCGCTGGCCTGGGGCGGTCTCTTCTTTTGGGCAACTGGGGCGCGTCTGTATTTCGTTCCGGGCCCGTGGTACTTTCTGCACCCGCCTGGGACGTGAGGGTGGGGTTGGGAAGTCGCTGGTAAGTCGAGGCACTGAGGCGCAGTATTCTTTTCTGGATCCTTTGTTTTCCATAGTTCGTGCAACGCATAGAGAGACTGCAGGGCGCTTGTTTAGCTTGCTGCGCGCCCGCTGCTCCTGGCACCGTTTCCTCTGGGCCTACTCGCTCTCTCGCTTCCGCTTTTTTGCACGGAAATAATTATCGAATCCCCTGGCAACAAACAAATTTGGGCTCTGCATGTCAAGATGGAATTTCTTAGACCATCACGCTTTCAACTGTCAGCGCTCGATTTGAGGATGGTTCTTTGTCACGCATATACCACCCAAAAAGAGGCCCAGCCACGTGCTCGCGCCATCCTCACCAATGGACGTACCCATCCTCAGACAGCATTCTGACCGCGTTGGAAAGGAGTCTCCTCAAAACACCATTGACCGATCCGAGACCCAAGATTTTGAAGCCTAGATCTCTGCCGGAACATCGGGAAAACATCTGAACACTTCCTCATTTCAGACGGAGTCATAGACCTGATCATGTTCCAAACACAAACCCTTGTAAAGGGTCCCAAAATCTCAGGCTGCCGCTCGCCCACAGGGGTCTCTCGGAGCATATCCCGAGCCGCCTTGCGCTCCTCCTGTCTGCGTGCCCCCATGGACTGTCGGGATTCTGGGTTGTTCGGCAAATGGATCCTAATGCAGGTTCTACTGTCCGGAAGGAATCAAGAAAGCATCGGGGTCTGCAAAGCTCATGGGCGTTGCGCACAATGTGACGCTGGTTGTTTCATCTTGATGCTGAACATGTTCAGCTCCTTTTCTCGCCCTCTCTCCCTGAAACACCATCTTTTTGCCGAACAAAAAGCCACAAAATCAGTGGCTGGCTTCAAGCCTTGCAGGGCTGAAGGTCACTGCCCCCGCGAAAAAACTGCTTGGTTATGGCAGATGCTTCTCAATGTTTCCAAGGTCCAGTCTGCCTGAGACCGTTTTTACGGTTCAAGCTTTATAGGGGTTTAGGGTTTAGAAGGGGCTCAAGGCCTTCCAGTGTTCTTCTCCTCTGGGTCCTAGACTTTTCTGGGCAGCCCTGAACAATACATAGGAGTGGCAGAATCGTTTGGGAGACTTCGCAGAACAGTGGGCCTCCAAATTTGGATGGTCCATGCTTGTGCATCTTGGTGCCCAAAGGGGCCTCTACAAAACAGTGTCTCGAAATTGATACGCCCACCTCCGTGGGCGACGCGTAGCGGGGCAGGGCAGGACCTGCCACCATTGATTCCAATATCTTCCACTCTCGACATTCAGCGTTTTCTGGTACGACAGATGAACCCCCCCCCCCCCGTGTACAAACTCAAACTACGGAGCTCCGAAAAAAAGCTGCGACCCAGAACTCCAAAGCCCTGAAGGTACTGCTAAGCCCCTTTGAATCTGCAGCGATTTTCATTGTAGCTGGGTGCCACCCGCACAGAAATCTGCAAATCAAGCAAAGCCCAAGGCTGTGGCCGCGAGCCGTGGCTACGCCCTGCGTCAACCTCACTGAGATGTGGGTGGTGCTTCTAGGGTTGAGTCGAAAGGTGCAGTGTTTTTCAGTGCCCTTGAGCTTGCAATCGAAACCCAGGGCCTTGCAGCCTGTGACACGGCTGCCCCACTCCCAAAATCATGAACCGACCAGGGCGTAGAAGATATTAATGGCCTCTGGGAGCCGCACAGCTGCTTGCAATCGATGTGTCTTTGGATGGTGAAGCCATCACCTCGAGCAAGCTATAGCAATCTGCTAGGTCTCGGCTCAATATGCCATGGGTGTTGCAAACCACCAATGCTAGGCAGAGAGAGCGCAAGCCTTACCATAAGCAAGGGACCCCGCACGAGGAACCGAAATGCATAGCCCGGGACGAAGTCAAAAATGTGGTGACCAGCTTCATTCTCCCATCTGGTTATCTGACTACACTCAGGTTGTGTGCTCTTTTATTTGGCTGAGTAAAGGTCGGGGGGGAAGCGTAAGCACGTGGATCATGAGGTGGGCAAAAGGCGACGTCGACATGATCCGATATATGCATTGCAGGATTGAAGTGCAATGCGGCACAGGGTGACATTTCATAGGCCGTTCTAAGCGATGTCTTCTAAGACACGATTCGAGTCATGTCGGGCCCCAGCTCTCCTTATAAAACTCCCAAGCGGTCGAAGCCATCACTCGACTCCTTCTCTCATGACTAAGGGTTTAGGGTTTAGGGTTTAGGGTTTATACAGCAACCTCCATTTTTTGTGCAAATCCTGGGCACCAATCCGCCTTGTGCGCGCCCCAAAGAGAAGTTAGTGCCTCCAGCGTAGAAGAGGAAGAACACAGGAAGCCATCTTGCCAGCCTTGGCTACAAAAAAACGGCATGCCACCGTTTCGGAACGGATTCGGCACGGGAGTTGTGGGGCAGTATAGGATTTGAAGGACATTGCGCTGAGCATAACAAACGCAAAGACCTGAACGGTGAACAACGCTATCACCTGCCACTGTGACCACTGTGCACCCTAAACCCTAAACCCTAAACCCTAAACCCAGGTTCAGCTGCTGGCACGAAAAAAAATCTGGGTATGGGCCTAAGGTATCTGTGCCATCGGCCAGCATGCAAAGACAAAGCCAGGAGGCACACAACAGTTTGCGGGCCTCGAATTCTAGAAGTGCTTTTGTCTGATTCATATAACTACTAGTCAAGCTGCCGGAGTAGGCTTGGAGTTTTCGGATTCTGGGTACTTAATGGGTTTGAAGAGGGGTCTTAGGTGCTCGGCATCGTGCACTTCTACAACTTTGAATCTCAAGCTTTCTCCCAAACAGGATCGCCGCCGTGGAAAACGACCACAGGTCCGAACCCAAAAGCCGTGGGGCTGCACGCCTTCGGTCGCAACCTGAAGCCTAGTCAGGTTTCTGGTCGGGCAAACACAGGTGAGGGCACGTGCTTTTGTCAAGTTACCCACTACATATGGGGTTTGCGATCATAAGGAACCCCGAATATAGACAGATTCCCTTACAAAGAGGACCCCAACAAGGTACCCCTCATATCGTAAACCCCATATTATCAAGGGAAGGTGAACCACTGACCAGCCGGAGGGGCGACAGCGGCACCCTCCGAGCGATGGCCCGTGGCGAAGCCATGGCTTCCAACGGTGGCGTTATACTCGAAGGAGTCTCCCACCCTTAAGGCCTTACGAAGCGCTACGTACCTTCGGCAACCCTCTCTCGCTCTCTCTCCAGCAAGCTAAGCGCACGCATGAGCTTAACTAAGTAATGATCCTCGTGTTTCAAGAGTTTCTTGTGCGGCAGGTTGTGTAGATCCGAAACAATCGAAGATTCACAACCTCAAAAAAAACACACCATGACTGAGCTTGAGCTACGCGGGATGAAATCGCAAACGACAGTCCTTCAATACGATTCTAGGAACAGCAGATAACAGCAGCAAGGATCCAAGCCATCACAAAATACGATCTGAACTCCGGAATGAATCGGAAAGTGGCGAAGAGCACCCATACTTAGCATGTCGGTCGGAAGCCGACCTTGATGGCAGAACGCGCTGTTTTCTGCTTACTTGAATCGATGGCGTGGCAAGGCCCTCATGCGCCAATCCAGCCTCAGTTATTTTGTGGGTTTCCGAAAATAAGGGGGGGCGGGGTGCCTTTTTGGGGGTTCCAAAATTTTGGGGATTCTATTCCATTTGGGGTGTAAATGGGTTTAGCCTATTTTGGGAAAGACCCATATGCCGGGCCGAAGCTAACCTGCGGTAGTGTGTTTTCTTCTCCGCCCGCCCTCGGGGCGGGCCTTGTGGGTGCACTTGACCTGGCGCTCACTGTCAGTGTCTGTGCTGCCTTGTTGTTTTATTTCCTCTCTCTCTCTCTCTCTCGCTGTTGTTGTTCTGTTGCTGATTGGCATGTTCGGTTCCACTCAGTGCATCAACGTCGCAACTGCGCGTACAGTGTACAAGCCGCAGCGACCTGGGTCGCTGATCCTTGTGATCCCTGTATTGCAGTCCTTTGTGCCTTCTTGATTCTGAGAGCGCCTAGGGGGCCCATTGGGCCGCACCCTGGTGTTCTACAACAATTATACTCAAGCGACACCTGCGCTGGGGTGATGATGCTGACCATCATTTCAATGCAGTGAAGGTATGCGAATGCCATGGTATGAGACCGTCACGATGGGAATGCAAATGGCGCAGGGGCCTGGAAGGACTGCCGAAGCATTTCCAGAACACATGTTGACTCATGGTGATGAAAAAGGAGGTTCCTGGAGCTTGACCGCCACATGCAAAGAAACATGCCTCATTGAATCACGCATGCCGAGCACGGGGCCCCGAAACGTGGAGTTGCTCTTGACGATGAATGTGGCCCCACCCGCCTGCAACAAATACAAATACAACGCCTACAAACCTGCATCTCCCCCGAACCCTTCACACAGACCTCTCATATCGAAGGAAGCGAAGATTCAGCTTGGGCACAGGGTTCTCAAGTTCAACTCCTCGTCCTCTCTTCAATGACTGGCGAGAGACGTGCGCACAAATGCACAATGGGGTACACTCCAACGACTGACTCTCTTCCGCAGCCTCGCACACCAAATGCCACATGCCAACCCAAACCCTACCTCCGAATCTTACCACACCACCCCTTGGCTGAGACACACTTTTGAGCTCGACTTCGCGCCCTTCACGGCTGCCCCATGGCCTTTCCTTTGGCCTTGGCCTTGGCCTTACCCTTGGCCTTGGCCTTGGCTTGGGCCTTGTGAGGTGGCTTGCGTCTGCACGCAAGCGTCATGGCGCGGAACACTTTCGCCCGCCTCGCCCGGAGCAAGGCCACAACTTCTTCATGGCCGCGAGAAGATGCGATGTCCAGGGGCGAGTGGCCGGAGTTGCTTCGGGTGTGTATGTCAGCACCACCACCTTTCAGCAGCAAGCGGACCACTTCCAGCTCATCAAACCGAGCCGCCACACAAAGAGGCCTTGACTGGTCCCAAGAGAGCTTGACAAGACCTCCTGGCACTACCAGGAAGCAAAAACAGGGTTTAGGGTTTAGGGTTTAGGGTTAGAGTTTAGGGTTTAGGGTTTAGGGTTTCGGGTTTCCAACAACAGAATACAAAACGCCATTCCAACAACACCCGATTTGCGTCTCACCGGAACTGCTTCGGACGTTCTTGTCGGCACCCGCGTCTATGAGCACGCGCAGAGTCTCCACACTGCCCCTCCAAGAGGCGATCCACAGTGGTGTCTCGTTGTGACGGTTCCGGGCATTCCTTTGATCAGCTTGAGGGAGGCGGGAAGCACACGAAGCTTAGAACAAGACAGGTTTCTTGGTCGTTCTTGGGGCACGGTGGTGTGGTTTGTTGTGTAGGGTCTTGAGGTGCATCTAAGCTTCTTGTCCGCACCGATGCTCAACAGATACTTCACAACGTCTACCTGATCATGCACGCATGCTACCTGAAGAGCGTCAAACATGTCGTTGTCATTCGCGCGTTGGTCGGCATCAGACTGTATCAGCACGCGCAAAGCCTCCACGTGACCACAGCGAGACGCAACGCATAGAGGCCTGTCTCCAAAATCGTCCAGTACGCTCTTGTCAGCGCCGGCCTCGAGCAACAGACGCACGATTCCCTCATGGCCGAAGTCAGAGGCTGCGTGCAATGGGGTCTCGCCATACCTGCTCCTTGAGGTTGCATCAGCACCGGCCGCCAGCAGCCAGCGCACCACTTCAAGTCTACCATTCAAGGACGCGACGCAAAGAGGCGTCATGTCATAGCTGCTGGGCAGATTCTTGTTCGCACCTGCCTCAACAAGCAACCGGACGACTTCAACATAGCCAAGCCGCGATGCGACACCAAGAGGCATCTCATTCAGGCAGTTGCGCGCATTCTTGTCCGCGCCTGCCTGCAGCAGCAAGCCTGCCACCTGCACGTGGCCATGGGCACAGGCGATCCAAAGAGGGGTTTCGCCATCAGGGTTTCGTAAGGCATCGACGCTGGCATAAGCCTCCAGGAGCAAACGAACGGTTTCGACATGGCCCTTCGCTGAAGCCCAGCAAAGCGGGGCTGCAGCTGAGCGATCGCAATGGAAACTGTCTGGATCGAGAGGCCGATGTAGCAGCGATTCCACTGTTGAGGCCCACCCAAGACCAGCCGCTTCTGTCAACCTAGCAACTTCTGAATGTGAGCCGCTCACAAATCGCAAGAGGATCAGCTGCAACTCCAGAGGCGAGTCCAACCGGGTACCATCCTCAAGCATGCAGCCACGCCAAAGAAGCCTCTGCCTGAACCGCGGAAGACCACATAGGCCGCGCAAGCGCATTTTCAGATGTCGAACATCGCTCAACTCCTCCAGGGGAATTGTGGCCACTTCTTGCCCCGCGGCTGTGCTAACACGCACCACCCCCGCAGGAGCACAGTGGAACAACCAAGGCAGGTACATCTCGACGACTGTACTGTAGTACTGACAATCAACGGCTGCTTCAGGCTATACGGCATAAGCTGACTTAGCACCCTGTGACCCTTGTGACCCGAAAGCCCAACCTGAATCTTGAGAAAACCATGTCCAACACTACTGCAACTTCGAGCAGAAATCCAGCATCTCGGGCCAAACAGCTCTGGCGCTCGGATCTTCCCTTAATAAACTCTGCACCCATACATAGGCTTCATAAGCCGGGGCAAACTTACATTCCCTAAGCAATCCAAGAACCATCCGTCAGAAACTCGAACACTCATCTTGACTTGGGATCTGAAAACCCAAAAAGCAAGCGGAACTTAATGATCAACCCCCCTAAAAAGAAAAAAATAAGTCCAAAGGAACCGGATTTGGTTTCAGGGTTCCTTTTCTAGAAGAGGCCCGCCCCCTTTACAACCTGGCCCGCCCAAACAAGACCTCTACAACTACCTTCTACGGCCCCCTGCCAGAGATTGAATCAAGGGGGGGTTGATTAACGGGGAGTGAACAGTAAGTAGAAAACAAACAGCAAGCTTCTCTGAAAGATGCAACTGACTCTTATAGCCCAGCCTTCTCCAGGGGAACGACGTCTCCTTTGGACGTCTGCAAATGTGGGAGGTCCCGTGGCTCAAAGCTCAAGAGCTGGCTCGGGATCTTCTCCACGCCTGCGAGGAAACCCTAAACCCTAAACCCTAAACCCTAAACCCTAAACCCTAAACCCTAAACCCTAAACGTAGATATTTCACTTGTGGATCCTTCATGACCACAAGCTGCAGCCTCTCAGAATTGTCCACGGCTACTTGTAGCGGCTGCAAGCCCCCTTCTGCACACAAGAATCGGTGTTCTTCTTGTCTCCTTAGCCCTTTAGTCGCTCAGCCCTGCATTGACAGGTCATCCAGCTCCTTGCCAGGCCATGAGAGCCTGCAAAATCTCGGGAGCCTTCTGGAGCTTCAGGCTTGTTAGGAGTTCCCTAGCAAAAAGCCCTCCTGGGGCTCGGACGCATGATCTCCTCCGCTACGTTCTTGCAAGCCGTGCTTGCCTCCATTTGCATGCAATGGAAGTCTTCTCACAGTGACAGCTGGGAGGCCTGCGGAACTATTCTTCCATAGTCTGATGACTATAGTTATCTTGCTATTTGCGCTGAGAACTTCCATGTAAACGCCTAGTGCCAAAAACTGCTGCTCAGCTGCAGCTCGCAAAGCCTAAAATGTGGTAGTATCGTCCTGTTGGGACAAACAGGAACCCTAACCTGTCAATTGACCGTTCAGAACCTTACATCAAGACGGAACCCGAAGCCCCTCATTTATCCGAACATATCCGAAGCGAGCCTGCACCAAACCTTGCGGAGCTGTGGACTCCAAGACCTCCAGCCAGGGCCGATTTCTCAAACCCGTCGTGGCAGGCAGCTTAACGTCTTGAGTCTTAATGGCTCAAAGGGAGATTATTCCACCCTGCAAACGGAAGTCCATAAACGAAGCCATGGTTTATTGTCGTCTCCAATTAGCTTGGCATGTCAATCACGGAATTGTATACGTCTTCATGACATCCTGAGTCCCAATCCTACCGACCCCCACTACTCAGTACCCCCCCCCCCCCCCAAGGCGTCTTTCATTCAATCATACAAGACGATCGTTCACCATTCGTGGGCGGTGGAGGGATGTTGGTTGGTTCAAAGACACCGATGTCTCTTCTTTGGGCAGAGAGAGGCGGACGGTCAGAGCGATTGCGCTGGCAGGTTTCCCAGCCCCCACAGACCTAAAACAACTACCGCGGCAGCGCTTTTCATTCCTATCTCAAGCACTCAGGTTTATCATGCTTCCGCAGGATATCCATGCCAGCGCTAGAACAGGTGCGCACCCTGGCATATGGACCTTGCAAAAGCCCCAAAGTCCGCGAACCGCGGATGACCGGGCGAAACGAGATCCTGTCCACTCACCAACAGCATGTCAGCATCTGAACGCCAGCGGCACCTCCAACTCCGACATTAGCTCTCCGAACAGGTGGTACCTGCCACTCGCAGTTGTCCAAACCCCCCACTCAAGTACACCCGAAAATTAGGATTCAACAAGGCTTGAGGGCGAAACAGAAACACCCTCGGCGTCTAAAGTCGCACTCTGGAACCTCAGACGTCTTTGCCCTCTTCGGAAAGAACACCACGATGGGGGATAGAATCGGCCGAAAACGAGACGCGTCGAGTTCGCACAACAACACCAAATCACCCACAGACCACACCCAGACGCATGTACACAACCAACACCAGCAATCCTAACAACACCAACAACACCAATAGCACGATTACACGCCGTGGCCCGGCCCTGCGCCCGGGGTCACCGTTGCATCTCTGTGCCCACAATGCCCCCGATACAGGCCTGGCTCGTGCCGGCCATCTAAAGTTGAACTCGGGTTGAGTTAGTGTTTACACGCTAGTGTGCTTCGCTGGAGGTCAACATCTAGCGGGGGAAAGAAACCTGTGCAATGTAACTTGTAGATGAAGTAGAATCTGCTCATCTTCTCAAGGCATGCAGCCATGTTCAACCGAAGCAACACCAGCCAGCCAAGCGCCATGGGCGATGCCCACTCGGCAACTGACGCTGCAACCTTCACCATCCACAAAGCCTGCAAACGCGATGTGATAAAACATGGCCTCTTGCGATTAAACCCTAAACCCTAAACCCTAAACCCTAAACCCTAAACCCTAAACCCTAAACCCTAAAGGTTTGGGCTTGGTTTCTGCCACGGGCCAGCTTTCAGGGCCCGGAGCAGGAAACCATAGTACGAGTAAACCCAACAAACCCAACAAACCCAACATTCTCAATTCGGTACGAGCTGTTACAGGGCCCCTGCGCGGATTTGGGCTCCAAGTCTCACGTGTTCGAGAATGTCAGATAGTTGAATAGTTCACCCACATGGCTTCCCAGACTACTACATGACTGCATGGCTCCGAACCTGGGGCCGAAATTTACATGCGAACCCGGCATCCTGAATGTCACAACCCTGCTGTCCAAACCGAAAGCATCAACCCAATTCCCTTTTGCTTCGTGTTCAACGGGCTTTACGCCGGCGCAACCCAATGTCCTAAACTGCAAAAAAGAAAAAACCTTGGTCCCTATGCATGAGGAACAACGCAAGCGAATGTGTGAAGAGAGAGGCTAAAAAGAGAAAAACAACAAAGAGAAAGTGCAGACAAGCATCTGACTTGTTGGGTATATAATTTAGGGAGGGTCGGCACAAGGGCACCTCAAGCAAAAGATTTTGGCATACAGCACCTAGCCCAAAGAAAACCCACGAGCACTGGGCACGATGCCGTGTGCTGCAGCCCAGCTATGTACAGCTCGGACCTGGCAATAGTTCTGGCGTGTTCGGGCTTCATCCGGCAGTGCATGCCCGGAGGAAAAGGTCGTGTAGCTGGTTTGTCTTGGCGCAGATGAACATCTGCCTCCAGTCTAAGTGTAGGGCCCAAAAAAGCACAACGAGTCAAATGCTGCAGTCGCCCCAATGCACACCCCAAAGTCACGCCCCAACAGCTGTCAGAGCCGACCATTTCCAGTCCGAAGAGCACGACCTCGGACTGACTCACTCGGCCAACCAAAAAACCCATACGAGTGTGCTGGATTCCGCTTGCTGCTTTGCATTCTGCTTTTGAGTGCGTGGATGCCATGGCAGCTGGGATGCATGCGCTCACTGGATGGTTCTTCTGCGTGAGAGGCAGGTCTGCCTGCAGGAAGTTGCGGTTGCTATCAGGATGGAGGTGCCTGTCTACAAGGACCTGCAAAGCTTAGAGGCTTAGGGTTCAGACAGAGGCTAGGCGAAATACAAATGTTGTGCCTTTTTAGTTTCGTGGGCTCCTTCTCCCTGGTGGTGAAGGATAGGTCCCTTTTGCGGTGCGAAGTGAGTGGTCTGCGCTTCCACATGAGTCAAAGAAGTTGACCCGCTGCTTTCCATTGAAATATCTAAAGCACTCTGCGTGAACTTCAACATAATGAGGTAAGACAGGGTCAGACGCGAGTTACTCAACCCAAACCAAAGGATCAAAGCATCCTTCATCTGCAACTCTGAATCCCGGCGTGAAGACACGAGACCACGCCTTAGACCCTGTCAATAGACGCATCAGCAGCATCATCTTGCAGCCATCTTTACAGGCCTGTCCCGCAATGTATGCATCCCCGACGGTCTCGACTTTGTAGACCTCTGGTGGCGGATAGGGCGGATACAGATGCTGCAGGGCAGCTGGGAAGTGAGCTGGGACTTTCGCGCTCCCAAACAGACGTGAGGCACTTGGAGCAACAAAGGCGCGACTGAGCTAAAAAACAACACCCCCCCCAACAACAGGAACTCGCTCGGCAGCAGGCCTGATGCTTGTCCGTCAAATCCTGACAGGCTTCGCTCTCTCAGCACCGGGACGGCATGGTTCCAAGGGCTGGCTCAAAGAGGTTCTCAGGTACAAGTAGGTTCTGGCGGCTTGAGGAGGCACCTTTTGTCTTGCAGCTTCATGAAAGCTAGCTTGAGGCAGCTTACGCAAATGGCACTGGTTCCCAGGCAGGCAACGCAAACGGACACAAACCCCCCACACCAATCAACCTTGGGTGTGGAGAAAGGCTTATCCAAGCACGCGCGAGATATTGGCAGGGCCCCAGTGTATGAACCCAGTGGCAAACAGACAGACTCATGGACAAGAAATGCCCGGCAGGCATCGACCATCATACAAACCAGACAACCATTAGAACCTTGATCGTGTCGCAAGCGCTTCACGCAGCTTTGAAATTCGTTTCGCACATACGTCCAACCAGCTCAGCAAAATCTCGGAC